AACGAATATAAGTCCTAATTTAGTTTTCATGAGTCCACAGCTAGGACATATAGATGGGTTCAAGTTTGTTTATAGCAAGGGTAAAATTGAGATTCAGTCCTGGCGAAGTTATTGGCACAATAATAACTAATTTAAGAAGGCTTCATGGTTACCAGATAAAAAATGCCTTTCCACCCTGTATTCATGCTAAGATAATTCGTACATGCAAGCAAGGCTGTGTTTCAAAGAACCGCTTTAGTGTTTAGTGTGACTCGAATTTTATTCAGAATTGGTTTCACCGAAAACCGTAAGAGAAATGCCTTGGATTAGAGACTGTTGGAGATTTAGCTGAGAAGTCACACTAATGAGAACATACTTATTTAGAAATATGCAGTAATGAAGGTAAATAAAAGTTGCATTTCTTTAGGCAATACAAATATTCTCGCATTATTAAGTTACTAAGGGTTACCTGAAGAAAATATGCAAAAGTATCGGCATCGTGTAACTTACTTGACAATGCGCTTGTTTCACCAGATTCTGGGTTGTATTTGTGAAGGTGGACAGCTGAATACCAACCCTTTGAAATTCATGATATCTTAATCGAATTTCTGCATGCTGAGACTAGAAAGATAAGCAAATGAGTTAAAAACCTCAATATTAAAATGGTGATATGTTGAAAAAAAGATGTGCTTTATTCTATGCCAAAAGAGCCCCAGTGCTTTATTCAAGAAACTTTAGGTCATTTAAGCTGCCAGCACAACTTATAGTTGTTCTTTCCACTTTGAAAAGTGCATAAGGCCTTACCATATGCAAACCTAAACTTCAAAAATGCTTTGTCATTTCAGTCGGACGAAGGCCCAAGACTTTTGTAAGTCTAATTAATACCATAAAAGGCATTCGAAACTGCTGTGAGTGCAGCAAAGTCAGAAGAGCTTTGCTATTCTAACTGGAATAAGTTAAGCCAAAGACGACCATTTTAAGACAAAATGAAAATGATGCCATCTCTTCTTTGCTTGTCACATATACAAAATATATTGTGCTATCTCACTAGTTCGCAGGATGTCTATTCACTTACATGAAACGTGTGCACTTCTTTTCCAGACAAACAAGCTAACTTCTAACCTTTATTTCATTTAGAATTTCTTTCCGACTTTCGTCATACTTTCCTGGCAAGTTGTTCAACCGAAAATGGCCAACTTTGCTTCTGGGTGACGAGAATCCCGATGCATTGGTTACTGTAAAGCCGGAACAAGGAACCTGTTGTCTTTTGGTACCAGATAAGCAAGCGAAGCTCTGGCAATATCTTCTTAAGAGCTGTGCGACCAACATGAGGCTGTCCAGTTCTGAGGTTAGGCGGACCGGGATGAAGGTAGCGATTCTCTGCTCGAGTTCACGAACAGTAGCAATGCTGATTAGAAGGCGATATAAAAGAAAAGTTTCTCATTTTAATTTAATAGATTGATTAGAGATACTCAAGTTGACCTTAAAACCATTGTTTGCGAATCGTACATAACTTGGCTTTTTCACACATAAAAATAACGTGAACTTGTTCATCCATTAATGCCTAGCACCTCCACAAGGTAAATACATAAGCCAGTCGTCCGAAGGTCCTGATTAATGGAGCCAAAATAGACCCATGATGTTCATTACAGAGAAGTATGCATCCTGCTCTGAAGGCGATATCAGGAGACCTTTGGCACCAAATGGAACTCCCTCTTGATTGGTCAATTTCTCGTTTATACTATCAAAAAAAGTAATATTTACCTGGCCCAAGCATATTGAGGCATGTAGCAATAAAAAACGATATTACAGACTAAAAATTCAAGATCTTACGGCTGGCATTCATAGATCCTAGAGATTACTAAGTCTGCTGGCTGAATGAAGCGACACACTGCTTACGCCCATTCAATACAAAATTGTAAACATTAATCTGTGCCCGAGACAATCAGCAATTAT